CGGGACTCGATCCAGGGACTCCAGGATCATGACCTGAGCCGAAGGCAGACGCTTAATGACTGAGCCACCCAGGCGCCCGGGAACCTTTTTATATTATCTGCTCAATTATTATGTTAATCTAAGCCTATTCTAAGTAATAAACTTTATTAATTAAAAAATAAGAAAAGATCTATTTTTGCAAACAACAGACTAATGTGGAAACGTTAGCTTCACTATAGCTACCATTAAATGTGACCACACTTGAGTTGCAAATGCAATTTTACTACTGTGGTTACAAACTGATGAGTGACCAACTAAATTAAAATTTTCACACATGAATCAAAAATAATATGGCTTGGTATTTTTGTCTGTAGTATGGGACAGTGACAAGCTAGTATAATGATTCTTCTTTTTTTTTTTTGGACACAAAGAGAGAGTGTGAGCAGGGGAGGGGCATAGGGAAAGGGAGAGAGAATCTTCGGCAGGCTCCATTCCCAGCCTGGAGCCCAACACAGGGCTCAATCTCATGACCCTGACATCATGATCTGAGCCAAAACCAAGAGCTGGACACCACCCAGGTGCCCCTAGAATAATTCTTCTTGAATCAGCTTAATGAATGAATTTTCATGATACCTTCAGTAGGGTGAACTTTTGTGCGACGGCTCCAGATCCTTCGGGCCCATGTCTGGGGGTGGAGAGCAGATCTTCTCAACCATTTCTGGATGGTTACATCACTGATCTTGTTCGTAGGCCCTGGGAAATGCATTACAATAGAAAGAGCTGACATCTTGGTATCAGAAGACCATAGAAAAATGAATGATAATTTTATCAGAGTTCAAACTTGGGATCCCATTGTTCATCATTTGCCTGGCAAAGCCACCTGAGTCAGAGTGGGCTTTAGGAACATCTTATAGTTCATATATCCTTAAAATACCCAGCAGAGAATGTAAACTGATGCAGTCACTATGAAAAACAATATGGAACTTCCTCCAAAAATTTACAAAAGAACTACCATTTGATCCAGCATTCCCACTTGTGGATAATAAATCCAAATGAATTTTAGTCTGGATTTCAGAGAGATATCTGCCCATGTTCTGCAACGCTATTCACAAAAGCCAAACTATAGAAACAACTTCATGTCCACTGATGAACAAATGGATAAAGAAAATGTGGTCTATTCATACAGTGGGATATTATTCTGCCTTAAAAGGAAGGAAATCTCATTTTTGACAACATGGGTGGCCCTGGAGGACGTCCTGTTAAGTGAAATAAGACAGACACAGTAAGACAAATATGGCATAATGTCACTTGTACGTGGAACTTAAAATAGTCCAACACACAGAAACAGAGTAGAATGGGGCTGGGAGGAGGGACAAAGAGGGAAACATTGGAGATACGGTACAAAGTTTCAGTGATACAAAATAAATAAGTTCAGGAAATCTACTTTGCAACATGGGGCCTGTGATTAATAACACTGTAGTCTATGCTTGAAAATCAGTAAAAGGTTAGATTGGAGGTTAAGTGCACTTACTGCCAAAGAAAAAGAAGAAAAGCTCTAGCAGACACGGTGAGGCCAATACCTTTGTTAAGTGAGACAATAGGGGAAGACAGAACAACACTGTCATTGAGAGCATGGGGTTGGTGACTTGCTGAGAGTGAGCATACTGATGAGTGGGGGATCTGGGACAGGAATGGAGTTGGCTCCTTGGGGAGAGAGGTCCCTGAACACCTGAGACCTGCCCAGGGCACCTGAGATCATGCCCTGCAGCCCTGAACCAGGGCTCCCTCGGTCTCTTTCTCAAATCCTCCGGCTCCAAGTTGTCTGTGGGAGACAGCTGATGTGCTGGAGGAGGTGCCTGAGCCAAGAGAAAAGTCCAAATCCTAACTCAGCCTCCCACCTCTAGGTTTCAATCCCCGGCCCAGAACACAATGCAGATGGCCCCATGAGAAGCCGCTCTGAACGGCCATCCTCCCACAGCATTCACACTATTAGCTGTCTGATGTGGGGTCTTCCCCACAACCAGTGGACCACCCTCAGTGACCAGTGGTCTGCTGGGCTCCCAAGCTGATTCAGAAACCGGGACATTCCAATCCAACAGTCACATGACAGCTCTACCAAGAATTAGCTTCCCTCCAACAGACCAACCCTGGCTGAGCAGTTCCTGTGAGTTAACTGGGGAAATGGCCACCTGGGCTAGTGTTTGGTGGTTTCAGAAATTAAGCCTGTGACCTTCAGTGTCTCACTGGTTATTGATCTGAGTAAGTCTCCAAACAGCCTGGACAAAGGCCTGGCTAAGAGTGAACAGGGGCTGCCCTGGCTCTGA